TTTTCCTAAGTGCCTTACGCTTCCGGCTATCCCATGACGTAACATTATTGCTGGCCTGTTCATTGCTCTCATAGTTCACTAACTTCCACAGTGGAGTCCTCGTGTTTTACTGTGATATAACGACTGCAGTTTGCACTCTGAGTGGCAATGTACGTCTACTTTCTCTTTCTGCACTTGACAATCGGGTAACGGGCGATGGGCAGTGGGGTGTCGGATTTTGTCAATCATCCGGTTCTCGGTCAAAGTAGTTCGAACCCCAATGGATTGGTTGTGAGACATGTTGCCGAACCGCTTTTGAGATCGCTATCAACATGAGGTAGTTTTCTATTTTTCCTTACTTTCCAGCATGCATTTTCCTCATTGGTTGTCCAATGAATCATGCAAATGTGTAAACTTTGTCCTAATAATGCACCTTCAATCTCAGTTAGGAGTTTGACTATAAAGAATTAATGGTCAAGGAGTCAGCAGATCGAAAGAGAGAATGCCGTGCTCAGAGGGTTCTTCTATTATCCCTCATATCCCAGGCAGATTGATTATGCAGCCTCTCTCTTTGCTGTCGGTTATAACTGATCACTTGAGATCTAATCCCACTATATAGCGAGCATTTTTCGCCACAATTTGGTGACCACCAATTTGGGTTCGCTATACCATTGGCAGTTGCTCGCCCGAGAGTGACGTCATTTAACCTCTTCAACACACCATATTGGACAAATCCATGCCCGTCATACGCTGTGAAATTGTTTGTTAAAAGATAATCATTTTTGTTTCTGCATAAGTTCTATACTTAAATGCAATTACCTCTGATCTTTCTTCCTCTCGCGATATTTTTCCCTCCGAGAGCAATCTGAGCGTCGTGAGTATCGGTAGTATGGTGTCTCCATGACGCATACGGGTGCGATGTGTATGTTGAAGGGGTTAATGACGTGATCGCGCCGAGCGCTGATGGGAAAAAGCTAGAGAAAAAACCCCACTGCCTGCGTATTCGCCAGCACGCAAAATGAAACGTGTTAGTCTATCAAATTCCAGTCTGTACCGCGGGTTGGGTCGGTCCAATAGAGTAAATCAGCATCCCATGCAAACCTCTAAATAATGCACCATTCAGTGCCAGTGTTCGAAATTAGAACAACGTGTCTGACTCGAATGCTACGAAGCGCAACTTGTTGAACATTTGCTTATATGCGATTAGAGGTCCTCTGATGACGTAACGCATCCCCTGTTATTGCCCCAGAACGTGGCAGTCTGAAATTCAAGCATCATCCTTAATAATTCTATGAAAGAACTCACTGAAATTTTTATGAAGAGCAATTGGATGGGGGGGAGGGTCTTTGAGGATGTGAAATATTAGATATCTCCGTTCCTCCATCTTATACCTGAGGATGTCTCATTGGAATGTTATGAAACGGAACCCCATGAAATTAGGTAAATAGGGAAACTGTGGAGTTTTGGGAAAGGGATTATGGGACACACCCGATATTAATGATCGGAAATATGGCTGTTCCGGGGATGTTCTGGAGGTCTTAGGTTCCAGTTATATAAAATACATCTGGAACCTAAACGAATTCTGAGTGGTTCTTATTTTTTAAATTATTTTTTTATGATTCATATTTTTTAAATTCTCTTGCTTTAACACTCTAATGAGAATTTGAGTTCCTTGGGTCATATTTATCCATTGCTCCCTATGTACAAAATGATTATTTTCCTTTCAGTAATAGCAGTCAAAATCAACGTAGATTGATATATTCCTATTCGCTCTTCTACTTTCAGATCATCATATTGACAGCCATAATTTTCCCTGCATGACACCCTGGGCAGCTCATAAAGCTTACACTTCCCCTCCTCCCCTTTACATAACACTAAGCCAAATTCTACGCTCGCAGACGTCGTCAGAATATCGGGAGTCCGACTTGGAGAAAAGCTTGGACGAATGAAAGATGGATTAGTACTCGGAATATTTTAAGGGGAGTTGCAGATTCTTATTCGTTGCAGGAAGAACAATGTCTGCTGTATTTTCTGCTTCCCCAAAATTTTCTCATTTTTTGCCAGTCAACCATAACCTTTCCCCCTCTCCGTTTCCCATATGCAATCTATTCTCCTTTTTTTCATCCCTTTCCTTCTCGACGCTCTTGGCCTAGTACTTCCTTCATCCCATCCATTCTTACAACCGTGATGAAAATCCTCCAGCCAAGTCGAGTGGATATCAATGGCTCACTTCGTCTCACCTTGACAATGCAAACCGTTTCGGTATGGGGGATAAACAAATTATCTCAACATTACATTAGAGAGTGAACCGTCCATCTAATATATACAGGGTCGTGCAAAAGTTCCCGTACACTTTGATTAGCGATTCGATTCTCTTAAGGCGTAATAGCTCCGGAGAAAAAAATTCAAACAAAGACTGAAATTTACTATAATGAAAACATTTTGCATCAATAATGTCAGTAGAATTAAAAAAAGAAGACACATCAGAATCGCCAAAAATCCGTTGATTAGTGAAAAAATTAGATTTTCAAAGTGTACGGGAACTTTTGCACAACCCTGTATAGACGATGGTGACTGACTGACTGAATGACTAACTGACGCTAATTCTAACCGTGTTCTAGAAGGGCTAGAAATCTGAAACTTAGTACAAATGTACCTTTTGGGATGCAGAGTTCAGAAAAAATCCGACTTTGGAGGTGCATGCCCTTGGGGCACAAATTTTGCGGAGAAACGTTTTTCATGATTATTTTTTTGTGACAGATGAGGATGGCATTCAGAGTATAAACTGGATGTGCTGGGTTCTGTGGTGTCGTCGTAACATATCTGGCTGACAGTCAGAAGGTCCAGGTTCAATTCCCGGTCATACCGTGGCTTTCGTTTCGTTTTTTTTACCGTCCATGTCCTGTGACTCAATCCCGCTCCATAACATCATTTTTGCTTGAGTAGAACACAGAGACATGGAAAGCTGAAACTTGGCATAGACGTGCCTAATGAGACGATGTGTTCAGGAAAAATGCGAAATTTTAGATTCATGCCCTGGGGGCATATTTTTGTGAGCCGACGTTTTAAAGTTCTTTTTTGTCCTGGCGTATTAAGCGGAGTGGAAAGATGAAACATGGTATGTAACTACCTATTGGGATGCTGCAGAAAACTTCAAACTTTAGAAGTAAATGCCCCTGGGGGCACAAATTTCAAAGGGAGATGTTTTCAACTCATTTTTTTTGCATCTGGTAAACTGGTGAACATGGAAAGCTGAAACTTAGTATGAATGTGACTACTGAGACAAGGAGTTAAATCAAAATGTTAAGTATCCATACATCCCCTGGGGGAATTTTTCGAGGTGCGATTTAAAAAAAAAAAAAATTGGCATGGCGAATTGGAAAGAAATGGAAGAAATTGGGCACATGTATAATGACATGATATTACTGAGCTGAGAGAGTATTCGGCATTCATGGTGCATCCCCTTCAGGCATAGCTTTTGGGTGGGTCGGCTTTTCAAAGCATGTTTTTTTACCAGCGAAAAGGGCAAATGTATAATATTGAAACTTTCGGGACATGCACATTAATGGACAGACATAGAAAAGTAGCTGGCACACGCATCACTGACGTGATGTTGATTTAAGTAAAAAATTAAACTTTTTAATACGTCTCCTCCATTGACATTTCTTGGCCTACCAAATGCTAAAAGTAACATCCCAGGGCATATAATCAAGAATGTTGCTAATTCTCAGCTGAAAAGATTCGCATTAATCTGTTCCAATGTGGCTGGATTTTATTATAACTGTGATCTCTTGTACCAAAGGCTACTTGGCAATGGGTATCAAGAGAATTTTCTACAGAAAATTTTAAACCTGTTTGCTCAGCAATGCAAGTATGACCTAATTAAATTTGCTCTCGAAGGGGGCGATTTTTCTGCAATTTGGCTGTGAGCTATTTCCCTCAGGCTCCAGAAACTTTGTATACAGCTCGGATGTGCGGCTCTTGCAGCACGGACGTGACTGCAACACAGACCCGGTGAATTTGAACAGGTTCCAGTGATTGGGCTTTTTCCCATACCGTTTTTATATTTTATCCTAGACACCACTTATCCAGTTAGTCGGGATTGGGTTGGGTGTTATTGGCCTAATGTGCCTCGAGGTCAGGGCTTGAAGGTAGCAGGAGCAATCTGGGCATCGTTCCAATCTGTCAGTGCAGGACACAGCTGAATGCATGGTAGGGCCTTTCCCAGGCTACACTTTTCTTTTGATAGGCTTGTTTTAAGCCTAGCCCTCCCCCCTTTTTTCGCTTTTCCTTCATAGGCTTGAGCTCTCCCAAGCCATGCTCTCGCTTCATTCCGTTCTAGGCTTGTGTCTACCATGCATTTCAGCTGTGAGGCTGGTCGAGCTAATCGATTGTTTAATTGTGGCGCTGGCAGATGGACTTAAGCCGGGATTGCTTCTGGGGCATTAAGTACTACCTCGACTATTTACCTCTACAGCCGTAGCACCTGACGGCAGAAACTCTCTGGATGGGGGGGGGGGGAGGCGACTCACGCGTGACTCACGATTTTTTTTCGCGAGTGGAAATTTTTTTTTGCCTTAGAACAAAGAGAATTAAAAGTGAAATCCTCGCATCTCCAGAAGCGTCGAGACGCGCGACGCAACTCACGCGTGACCCCGCGTGAGTCACACACGTGACCTCCGCGAATGTTGTCAGACAGTTAAATGAGTTGAATAAATTCTGGAACGGCTAAATTATTTATTTAATTTTTTTTTAGCAAGTTGGAAAGTCGGTTTCAGCAGGAAGGCGAAGATCTTCCGAGTTGATTTTCCGAGGGTGAAAGGCTCTTGAAAGGCTCGCGACAGCGCCGAATGCATTGCGAGAATCTTTTAAAAAAAGAATTCGATGAAGCTCCGATCCGGTGCCGTCATCTTTCACGACGCTAATTAGTATTAATTAGATGGCTAATGAGACAGAAACAATGCACAAAGAGCGGTTAGAAAGAGCAGGGAGGAGTGGCCCTGCACGAACAGACAAAGCGGATGGATGGCGTAGAACATGAAAGTGAAGACGGAGAAGAGGATAGGGGGGAAGACAGGGGGGAAGACGAAAAGGATGGCGGAGGGGAGGATAGGGGGGAAGACGGAAAGGAAGATGCAAGGGAGGAGGGGAAGCTGGAGGCCGAGATGAAGGGGAGGGTGGGGAGGTGACGTCAAAGGTCAGGGTCAACCGCACTCATCCGGAATGCGGTCAGGGTAGAGGAACAAAAGCCGCAATCTCTCTGGAGACGCTTTAATTCGACCTTGATTCTGTCGTCGGTTCCTTCTTGGCTCGGCCTTTCGTGGACTGCATGTGAAACGCCTTTTTTTTTTCATCGGGGAAATCCGACGGGGAAGCCGAGAACTGCGACGCGTGCCCTTTTCGTCGCGTTTCTGCGACGAAACTGCGAGGGTCTCAGGAATCTGCCCGTCTTCGAGAAAACGTATTTCGTCCGAGCTGCGCCAGCGAAAACACACGAAAAAAATTTTTCATGAGGAAATTCCCTTTTTTACTCCCTCGCATTCCGCATTCCCTCCAATTTTTCTCGTCCAAACGACAAAGACATAAAAAAAAGGGAAAAACATTCAGTTTTATGATCCAGTATTGCCGAAATACCCGACTTCGAAATCTTTCCGTTGCTAGGTTAAAGTAGAATCCATCGCCCTTTCTTTCCGTCTTTCAACTTTCCACCGCGTAGATAAACCTTTCCACATTCGAGAGAACGCAGTCACGCATTCTAGCGTTAAAAAAAAAAATCCAAATTGGCCTCGGAGGATCGAGCGAGGCGCGACTCATGGCTCGGGGACACACGTGGGCAAGGCCCATGCCTCTGACCATGCTTGCCTAGCAGACGACGCGCGGCGCGGGAAAATCGACCAATTGGGAAACGGGATCGAGTTTTGCAGAGGGCGCCAGAGCAGGCGAGAGTGTCCGAGGGCGCACGCGCTCTCCTCTATTTTCCCCTCTACAACTGGGATGTCCGCGTCCAACTCCTCCGTGCCATGACAGAGAAAGGCGAAGCTTTATCCAGGGCCTGGGCATGAAGGCTTTTGTTCTCGTGGAAATGCGTAGTCTGTGACGAGAGAACGTTCAGGGTCTTTGTTTACTTTCTTCGTTTGGGTGGCTTGCGAAAGGATTAGCTCTGGTCAGGCCTAGCGGAGGCATAAGTTAAAGTAAGGACCAAGCCAACTACGTTAACTGGTAGGCCTAACTTTAAACCGAGGCTTATGCACCCTTACCGTTGCTAAAAGGGATTGGCTATCAATGTAACAACAGAATGCTAAAGCCGTGATTATGATTGAGGGATTTTGTTGCTTTGGGATTGTTTGTTTAATGTTACATGTGCTCCACGCCTTCTTGTGATCCGTAACGTGGAGTTCTAGTATGAACTTGTTCTCTTCAGAAACGGACGATGCTTAGTGAGCCTAGTTAGGCTATACGCCTCCACCATCGGTAACGATAATAGTCACTAAGGAAGGAGCTGCTATCTGTACTTTTGAACACCATTGATAGCGTAAGGGATAAGGTGTACCACGTACGGTAAACATAAACTGAGACCTCTATGCTAGTTTTCCCTAAGTCGTCATGGGCATAACGATGATTATTGTTGTGAGGGTTCTCTCATGAGAAAGTAACAGCCATGAGTGAGACCTACAATGAAACAATGAGTGGTGTCAGTGTCAGCTTAGCATTCCAGAATGGAGAGATTATTAGCTATATGGATGCCCAGCCCTACCATAGTATCAATAATTTCTGAAAGGTAATTGCTCAGAAGTGGATGTGCAGATGGTTTTGAAAGACACTGGATTGATATTTCCATGTTCTTAATTTTGGTGGGTTAGGATATTTTTGTATCAAACCCTTTACTCTTCTTCCATCTCAGAGACCTTGTAGGAAGCAGACCTTTTTGTGTAGCCTTTAGGCCTATTTGAGAATACCTCTTAACTAGAGTTAGATAAAAACCTATAAAGTTAAATATAAGACCTTTAATTTTATGAGATACATCTACATTCCATTTGATCCTTAGGGTGGGCCAACATGAGACCATCTTTGTAATCTAGGCCAGAGAAGCCTCATATTTCTTTGTGGAAGAAATGAAGAGGATTGTTGTGTTTAGAAATGGGACAAATGTGGATGGCAAAGTTATACTTGTGATAAATTCTCTTGATGAAATTCTCAGAGCAGCTGGCTTGAAACTTGGCATTCAAGCTGCAAAACTTTTTACATCTCAAGGAGGGCTCATCGATGATCCCTGTCTTTTACGCGATGATGACATTCTCTATGTTTCATCTGGAGAGGATTTTATTCCAGTGTCTGATTTAAAATGGCCCTGTGATGTTGCTGCTGCACCCCGAGGTCCCTGTTGGGTCACTCTCAATGTTGGAGGAAAGCATTTCATGACCACAAGAAACACTTTGATTGGGAAGGAGCCTCAATCAATGCTTGCTAGGATGTTTTCAGAGGAAAGTCAAATGCAGCCAAGCCTGACTGATTCTTTTGGAGCATTTGTGATTGACAGAAGCCCCACCTATTTTGAAGTCCTTCTGAATTACTTGCGTACAGGGAAGGTCATCCTGGATAACAATGTTAGTCCTGAAGGAGTCTTGGAAGAAGCACGTTATTTTGGAATAGAAAATGTCATCCCAAAGCTTGAAGCTATGATGCAATTTCAAGTGCCAAGTGAAGGGATGCCATTGACAAGAAGGGATGTAATACAGGCTCTCATAACTACATCTTCTAAGTCTGAACTCAGGTTCCAAGGCGTCAATCTTGCGGGGGCTGATCTTTCACGACTGGATCTCAGAAATATTAATTTCAAGTTTGCTTGTCTTCATGGCTGCCGGATGACAGGGGCAAATATGAGCTGGTGCTGCCTTGAAAGAGCTGATTTGAGTCACGCACAAATGGGTGGAGCACAACTCCTTGGTGTTCGTATGCTCTGTGCCAATCTTGAGGGTGCCAATCTGGTTGGATGTAACTTTGAAGATCCTGTTGGCTCTAAGGCTCTACTGGAAGGTGCTAATTTGAAGTTAGCTAATTTGGAGGGAAGCAACATGTGTGGGGTCAATCTTCGTGTGGCAACACTGAAGAATGCCAATGCTCGCAATTGTGCTTTACGATCTGCTGTACTTGCTGGTGCTGATCTTGAGAATTGTGATCTTACAGGAAGTGATCTACATGAGGCTAATTTGAGAGGGGCAAATTTGAAAAATGCCAGCTTGGAATTGATGGTCACTCCCATTCATATGTCCCAAACTTTATGATATTATGGGTTAAGGTGATACAGAACTGCTTGTGTGTTTAAATTGTAAGCGTCAATGATGTCAACCTTTGATGCATACGTTCAGTTTTGCTATGCATAATTTCACAGAGTAGGTCTAGTATTAGATATTTGGCCATCATTCAGTATCAGTGTTTAATCTATTAATATTTACAAGGTGCTGCTAGGAAACAACAGACTTTACTATCCAAGTTGTGCCTAGGTCCTAGTCCAGGGTTACAACTTGTCCAGTCTATTTGTTCATCCCTGATTCCTGTATTAACATGATGAAAGGAACTTTGGAATGTATCACTGATCTCTTTTTTCCTATCCAAGATTCTGTGTGATAGAATACTTTCATAGGTGTTATTCAGGATAGTGTTCTTGAAATGCTCAAGTTCTTTTTGTTTCATATCTGAAAGGTCCAAGTTGATAGTGAACAGTCTTTTGAGCAAAGTCACCAAATGATGTCTAATCTGTGTATAATATTTCCAACATATCTCCTTTGAAAGGAATTTTGCAAATTTCAATTAATGTCACTTGTAAAGTTGGCCATTGTTCAAAAGGAATAAAAAAAGTAAGAAAGAAAACAGTGATGCTTCAGTAGTGAAATTAAAATGTTCCAGATGTTAACTGCACAGGACAAGTTGCAACCTTGGGCACTGAATCAGACATGATCAGGGTAGAAAAGCCTCTGGACTATTTAATTCCATCTTGTAGCTGTATTGATTTTAGGTGTACTTGCTTCATTCAAGCTTGTGTTTATATTTACCAGTACCATGCAAAGTATGATTCAAGAGGAATCGTGTTGAAATTTCTTTTGTTAATAGTGGATTTGGCATTTTGATACAAAATAACAAGCTTCAGACTCATGTATTTTATGATCTTTTATCATTGAATGATCTCATCTAGACTCCTTCCAGGAATATGTCTTTCTCTGTTACTCAACTTTGCTGTTGATTCTGTTGAAAGAAAAATAAATTTTTGAAGTATTTGTCTGCTGATCAGCAGGGGCGGTGGAGGGACTAAAAATAAAAAAGTTTCTTAAATGTATATTTACATGAAGTGTATTGCAGTTTTGCATAACTGGTGACACTTGAAATCCTACATTGCATGGTATTTTTTTTTAAATGTAGAGTGAACCTACTATATTTCCTGTAGGCTTTGGATTCTTATTAAATTGACATTTAGCTTGAGTGCCAAGAAAATAATTGTTCTATGATATTTAGCTCGATCATCAATAAAGTAGTTTCCTTCATCCTCCATGGTAAATGTCCTCTCATCTGGGGTCATCAGGAATTATGAAAAAAGTAAGATTTTTACATATAAATAGTATATATTTTTTTAAATCTAGGTTTTTATCTTATTTTTTCTACTTCACAGCTCTTTCTTTGGCCTCTTCTACATTTTCTGTTGTTTGGATGGGCATTGGCTCCTGGTAGGCAATGGATATGCATTTAATGTGTATTTAATAAAAATGCAGTCTCATCATTTCCCATCCTTGCCGGATTTTGTTGTCCTTTTTGTCGTTGGTCTCAGACTCTCTCATTCATGCTGTGAAAAAATGATCCTACCTGTTTCCCCATCAGGTTTTCCTAATTGCTCTTTGTCCATTAAGAAAAAAAGTTAATATTTGTAATTGGGGGAGTAAAAATGATGCTTCTGGGACACAATTGAAAACTGCTCATGTGCAAGTGTGTGGGTGATACAACGAGATAAAGAGATGGATAGAGAGAGATATTTGATGTTTCTGGAAGTTTCCTTGTATGGTGCCCTCCATACTCTAGTCTACACGAATAAAATGGAATATATTTTCTAGAATATATTTCATTATTCCTAAAGTTAGAGGTTTGGTGGTTTATTTTCAAAACATTGAGTTGAATGAATAAGAGGCACTGTGAGTATAACTTGTACAGTATTTATGACTATAAGATCACAGGGACTAGCACAGATCCATTATTAATTGTCAGAAGTTTTAAGCTACTAATGATAGATAGCTATGAACATTTGGAGAAGTGACAATCATCATTGGTTTTGTTTCCTTACTTGTCTGCAACAGTACCTCAATGTGACACATGAATTATAATATTTTAGCATATCCCTATTTTAATTCCTTTATTGATCTTTTCATACATTATTGAATATTGAAACATAATGAATGCATTATTATTCCCCTGACTTAAACAGCTCACTATTTTTTCATTTTAATGTTAATTTCTAGTCTTTATTCATTCAAATATTAGGATCAAATACTGAAACCTACATTAACAGTCCGTTAAGAATACGTTGACTCCAAAGGGGAAATAGAGGTCTTTAGCTTAAGGGCCCCGTTACCTTGCCTAAATTAGATTTTTGCAATTGGGTTTAAGTTTTTTTGCTATTTCAAAGAATGAGGGGCTTGTCCTCTTGTTACATTGGTTTTGGCTTCTTCCAAAATAATGTTTATTTCATGTGGGCAGAGCCTCATCTGCTTTTGGTTAATCTCTACTGTTCTCATTGTATCCTGTCATTTATTGGGTACTCTTTTGTTCAGTGCATCGATACCAGCTTGATTTTTCCATGCTTTGCAGATTGAGAATGTCATGCTTCCTGCAGATTCCCAGAGCTTGGAATCATTGCTTGATATCAGCCTCAGTGGTGAAAGTGGCAATCAAGTAGACTGGAAACTACCTCGAGGTGAATTCCACTGTTACGTGTGTGGAAAACTCTCCAGTTGTAGAGGCAGCTTGTACAAGCACCTGATGTCGGTACACAAGATACGCGCGGTCACCCGCGCTCCTGTGAGGTGTCTTCAGGACAACTGCAAGTATTCTTTTACCTATGTGGGGAAACTTCGGAATCACTTGAAGGTGATGCATAAACTTCCAATTGAAATCGATTCTATGCAATTTGAAACCATGGAATCTTTCCTGTCATGGAAGAGGCATATGGAGGAAGTGACACGAAGCTCTTATGTGAAAGTTAACGGACAGAAGATGTTGAAGGGTGGTCTTCGTACCTACTACTACTGCCAAAGGGCAGGCCATTTTCGAGGCGAGCCAGATGGGAGACCAAGAAGACGCAGGGAGTACTCCAAGAGGATGGGACACTGTATCTCAATGTTGACAGCAACAGAAGCTCCAGGTGGTCTTGTGAATGTAGATTTTTGCAAGACACACTATGGGCATGATGCAGAATATGAGATTGATGAAGGTCCACCAACAATGGTGCCACCTCCTGCTCAAAACATCCATGCCACTGTTGCAACCTCAACTGTGAATATGTTCAACTCTGGGATGCTTACAGCCCTGGCTGTGCCTAGCACATCCTTTGGTACCTTTGACTTTGGTGGCATCAAAGTGGCAGCCATGACTGAAATCAACGAACTCATGAACAGGGTACGAGCCACAACCAGTGTCGAGGCTTTGAATGCAGTGCGGAACAGTGTGAGGACAGCCCTCAATGTTCTGAATGGCAATGATGGGCTAGATTCCAGAAGTTCTCCAGGTGAAACAGAAGCTGCTGTTGCTGCTCTGGCAGCTCCACCGGGTGTTGCTTCCGGCAGCTACTTCACAGGTCACAAGATAGAGCCTCCAATTAAGCGTTCAAAGCACATGTGACAAACGGTTCAGATGGCCTCTCTGCTGCGGACTTTGAGGGCTATCCAGGTTTCTCTCTATGCATCGTCCTATATTGGTGGAAGTCCAACGTAGGACTTGGTCCAAATGCTTGGAATCTGACAGGAAATGGTGTTGGCATAGCTTCCACACTGCATCCTTTGTGCATATTGCCACTGTCAGTGTGTAGGTGTGTATGCCAAGAAGCCTGGTAATAGAGGAATGAATGAAGATCTTGGTCCTTCCAAGTGAAGAAAATCTAAATCTCGCCCTCAACACCTGTGATGATGAGCGTGAAACAATATTCATTTTTGCCACATTGCAATGGGATTGATGCTGCTAAGAAAACATCTGTTTATGCAGGTAGAGGGGCTTGGTCTTGCTAGGACTTCCATGAGGAAACAATATGTATTTCAACCAGTGTGGTTTGGTGAGCATTGAGCATGTGTAAGAGACTTCTGAAGTTGGTATTGGATGAGAGTTGTGGATCCGAAGGTACAACAATTTCACTGCATAAGGAGTACGAGTACCTTTTATACTTTCTTCCCCCCTTTTCCTATTGAAGTTTTTGTATACCTTTGTCTTTGAGAAATATTGATATTCCAGGAACTGCTTTGATTCTATTTATTGGAAACATGAACTTTTTTTTTTGGAGAACACTTTTCAATAGAGATTTTTACCAAATTTGTTTATTTGTTATTGTCACTGTGCCTGGAAGGCTTCAATCCAGACTTACTAAATACTTGAATGCAAGCACAGAATATGCTTGAATTGACTGGTATTTCCAAGGTGTTGCTCATGGCATTGATGGATACAGTTTGGAAGATATCTCATTCTCTAGGGAAGGAGGTTTCCTCTTTTTGCTTTCTCTGTTGGAACATTTTGTGAAGGGAAAAGGATCATCTTGTGGCATATGAGAAGAATAAAATCTTCATTCCTCTTGCTTCACCTATGATTTGATTGCTCTTTGAGGCAATTTCCATACTGAGAGATTTAAAGGAAGATACCCTGATCTGCTACGGAGCAGGGGCTGCTCTCACTATGCTTGCCTGGGCTACTGAGCTGTTGTAAATCATTTTAACCTGCATTTGAACAAAGATATCTAACCATGGCATATTTCTTGCTCTCTGTTTCAGTATGTAAATATGCATATTGAAATAATTTTTGGAACATCAGCTTTGTATGGGGGAATCAAACATTGTCACCCACCCATGAACTGTTCATTTTAAAATGCTGGAAATTCCAGAATATCTTGTTCAGACCTTCTTGAACACCTTGCTATTATTTATATGGTACTATATATATTAGTTTATAACTTCACAAGGGACATGAATAAGAAAACACTGCTCAGAACATGAATACTATTAAGAATTTTCACCTCTGCATGCGTTTCACCCAAGGCCTCCCCCTAAGAGCCAAATTGGTATTAATCACATGACATCAAGTGGTGTGGAAGATGAGTCCACTCCAATTTTTGGATCATTGCATGTGTGAAATGGAGTATACATGCCCTGGTGGACCTCCTTACTGTGTAAATCTTTGAGCAGCAAATGTACATGGCATGATTTTTTTTCTATGGCAGCCATTTTCAGTTCTGACTATAGGGGTATCGCCACAGGTGTATTTGGCAGTATTGTAGTGCAATCAATGGGTCAGAATAGGGTCAGATATGAATGCACTGGTTATTGGAATTTTTTCATTTTTGTCATTGATTCACTCATGACACAGTTAAGGGGCACAAGAAAATTTGAGACACAAGTCCCACTGTCAGCAGATCTTCAGTTGTAGACTTGGCCTGATCATGCCACAGGATAGGAAATGAGTGAAAAGTGGCAGAGGAAAATGGTGGCCATTCTCACCTGTCTAATGCATGACACTGAAGAAAGTGCATGAAGGTATGAACAAGAAGTCCTGAAAATCACTGCATTGAGAAATCAGATAATCAAAAATCTTTTGGCAGATACATGATCTAATTCAGACAAATTGTAAGTCAGAATTAACTGGAACTTTCAGAAATAGGACATGTTCAGGTTTGTTAGACATTTAGCAAATCAGGCATTGAGGATTCAGATGCTTGTCAAGCTGCTCATGTAATACAGGGTGTTTCAAAAGTCTGGACTCGGGCAGATTTCCTAATTTACCGTTATTTCATTAAATGTTCAAATTGCATGTCATGAACTTGCATACATATATCAATCCTGGCACATAACCCCTTCTGAATATTTCTTAGTACTTCTGTACTAATTTTGGTGCACTCATCCATTGAGAAATTTAATTAATTCAAAATACCCATGAGTACAGGCTTTTGAAACACCCTGTATTTGTAGACTTTTTTTTATGCAGTTGGCATAAGCTTGATGACTTTTGTGCATGAACTGCATGCATACAAGAAATGATGCAATCATATAGAAAGAAAACATTTTGTAGCAATGCCATTATCTTTATGGCAAATGTAGGATATAGGTCATACCTATGAACTTATCCTGTTCTTCAGGCACTGTCAATATTGCAGTTAACAATTAGTACAGGGTGTTTGAAAAGTACATGACTTCCAACCCATGGAAAGTTTACAGGAGATGTAGAAACCATTGTCCAGCACTATTTCAGCATATGGGATCAAGTTTATCTTCAGTAAGAACTGTACCTTGACTTGGTGCCTTTTTGTCTTTCACTCTACAAATTTCACAAAACTTGTTGTGTAGGTGCTTGATGGTCAATTTTTATGGAACTGTTTTTTCTCCATACTTCACATTTATGTTGGGTTGCAGTACAACTCTTACTTCAAATGTAACTAGACTCTAAGAAGATTCTCCAAGTCAATGTCTCATTTCTGCCATTTTTTTGCATGAAAAAGAAAAGAAAATTACATGACCATGAGTTGTGGTACTTTTAGAACACCTTGTGCCATTAGTTCCTGAGAGATAACAAAGCACTGAGGGATTAAACTTGCAGACACTCAAGGACTGACAGCATCACATATTTCTCTAGGTGAATGTGATAGAAGAAACATGCTGGGCATGACAAGTGATGCAAAGAATGATTCGTATTTTGTGGGTGTTGATGTGGGTTCTGGCAGTGTCCGAGCAGGCCTTTTCAACATGAGAGGTCAATGCCTGCATGTTTCTTCAGTCCCTATACAGACGTGGAATCCCAAGCCCAATTTCTACCAACAGTCATCCGATGACATCTGGTCTGCTTGTTGCACTGCAGTGCAAGTGCGCTCACAAAAATACAACTGAAAATTATTTGCATGCCTGATACTAGAATGATCAAAAAGGAATGGAACTTTCGTTGCAGCTCAAATAACACTTGTCTAAATTGTTGGCCACTCTGCAGGCATCAACTATGCTCACTTTGCGACTCATGGTAAAAATGTCAGTGGTCTTTCATTTAAGGAACTCTGTTGGTGATAAGTATTGATAGAAATTGCCATGGTCAGTATCTTTTGGCAGATTTTACTGGAATGCCAGCGCTGGAGTAAAGGGCAAAGATGAAGCTCTGAAAATCGTTTCTCTGAGACTCTCAAGCTTTTGCAGCAAATGTACCTACGTACAGCAGGTACTTGCTGCAGATATCTGTGCGTACATCTTTTGCAAAAGCTTGAGAGTCTCGGAGAACGATTTTCAGAGCTTCATCTTTGCCCTTTGCTCCAGCACTGGCATTCCAGTAAAATCCGCCGAAAGTTACTATCCATGGTAATTTCTTTTTATCACCAACAGAGTTCTTTAAACGAAAGACCACTGACATTTTTACCATGAGTCGCAAAGTGAACATAGTTAATGCCTGCAGAGTGGCCAACAATTTTGACGAGTGTTATTTGAGCTGCGGCGAAAGTTCCGTTCCTTTTTTGATCAGTCTAGTATATGCATTCTTGAGAGGTATTGAATGTTTGCCAACACTCTGTTAAAGGAAGCAACCAGAGAGCATGCTTCAGATGTCAGAGGGATGGGGTTTGCAGGGACTTGTTCTCTTGTCGTGTTGTCACCAGAAGGCCAACCAGTCTCTGTCTGTCCTTGCTCAGGTAATTGTGCCTGACAAGCTCTAGGAAATGGTGGAAGTCAATTAGTTTTGCTACAGTTGGATATCCATTACAGGAGATGTTAGGCAGAACATCATCATGTGGATGGACCATAGAGCTGAGTCTGAGGCAGAACAAATCAACACAACTGGTCATCATGTCTTGGAGTACGTTGGAGGGAAGATCTCGCTGGAAATGCAGCTTCCGAAACTCCTGTGGCTTAAGAAGAATTTGCCTTCTCAGTGTTGGACAAGGGCTGGGTTCTTCTATGATCTCCCTGATTTCATGACTTGGAGAGCCACTGGATCCCATGCAAGGCAATGGCATCCTCATGAATCTAGCAAATTTCCCCAATAGGGATTTTTTATTATTTTAAAGTTGTGCTTCACTATTTCAGAAGTTTATGCTCCTTAGTGTGTAAATGGACCTACCAGGCAAGTCTGGACAAAAATATTGGGTGGGATGAAGACTTCCTCAGATCAATTGGACTAGTGGACCTACTTCTGGATGATTTCAAGAAAATAGGTATTTGCTAAATACTTGTTTTCAGGTTTTTGTTTTGAGCCTTTGATTTTCAAGGGATTCCTGTAGGGAATGATGTGAAGACCCCAGGTAGCCAATTGGGAGCAGGGCTGACCAAGAAGGCAGCAGAGGAACTGGGACTTCGACCTGGCATTCCAGTTGGAGCCTCAGCTATTGATGCTCATGCAGGGGGAATTGGACTCTTAGCAGCTGTTCCTTCCTCTCTCAGTCATTCCACAAATGGTCTTCCTCACAGGCTTGGTATGCCCTTGCTTTTCCCTGCTGCTGCTGCTGAAGTTTTGTAATGAGCATGTTACATTCCCTTGAAATGCACCTACAAGTTATCATAACACATCCTCAACTGTAGTAGCTAGAACAGACAAAAAAGCCTTTCTGGGGACTGTTCCATTGCAAAAAATTGTATATTCACTTTATGGCTGTACTTTCATGGTAGAGCTATATTTTATTCCTTTACTATCACATTGGTGTCATTGGAATTATACAGGCAACTTAGGATCTGATGACCTGTATAACCATTTCATCCTTCAGCTCTGATATGTGGATCATCTACATGCCTCATGGCTTTGAGCAAGGAACCCCTATTTGTCCATGGAGTTTGGGGGCCTTATGCAAATGCAATGGTGCCAGGGTACTGGCTGTCCGAGGGAGGTCAGAGTGCAACTGGGATGCTCCTTGACCATATCATTCGATCTCACCCTGCCCATCAGCATCTGCTGTCAGAAAATGGGTGAGGGAGAATCTTGCAATTTTATCACTACTACTACTACATTGGCATTTTCCTCCCTAGTGCTGAAAATTCACATTGCAGAGAATCCCAGGTGTATCAAAGGTTGGAAGGGATCTTGGGAAGCTGTCAGCTGGAGGAAGGACTGGGCAGTGTTTCTCTCCTCACAAGGGATCTTCATATTTGGCCAGATTTCCATGGGAACAGATCACCTCTGGCTGATCCTTCTCTCAAAGGGATGGTGTGTATTGTCCAGAAACATTCAGATTCTTGTCATGGGAATACCTGTAGACCAGAGATCTGCATGGAGTTCTCTGCATCCAGATGAGTGGATTGACGCTGTCCAGTGGCAAGAAGGAGCTCGCAAGACTCTACTTGGCAACAGTTCAAGCCCTTGGAGTGAGTAGTATTCTTTGAGGTGAACGCCTCACATGGAACAAAAGTGATCCCGTCTCCGATTCCCCAGTATTCCACTCGGCACGTGATCGAGACAATGAATGCTGCTGGTCACGAGATCCAAGAGATCCTCGTCTGTGGAGGGCTGAGCGAGAGCAGTCTGTTCTGCAAGATGCAGGCTGACATCACTGGCCATCCGGTGCTGGTCCCTGAGACAAGAGAGGCTGTGTTGCTAGGAGCTGCCATTCTTGGAGCTTGTGCAGCTGGCACTTGGTCTGATGTCCTCACTGCTATGAGTCACATGGGGGGTTCTGCTCGCATCATAAACCCCGATTCCAGTGAAAAGAGGTTGGTGGTTTTTTTTTTTAGTAAAGTGCCTTGCTATGCACAAGAAATTCAAAGAATTTAAATTAGAGGTGCAGCAAATTCAAGTTTTTGTTTTAGCTCAGGTCAACTTCACCTCAACTTGAATCCAGATATTCAGATTGGTCTCATTCCTGTGACAGTGTGTATCCATTGTATTTCCCAATTAGTTCAAAAAGATTGTAAAAATGAACCTGAAATTGCTTTCAGTCACTCTAAATTCTAAGTGAAGTATTTCTTGAAGTAGAGGATGAAAGTATAACAAGTACAGAGCTACAGACATACTGAAAGAACAACTCACAGGGAGCTCATATTTCTCATCTAAAGGATCACGACCATGTAAGTCACAATTCACAGGCCACCCTGTCTCAAACAGGGTCCATTCATTTCTCATAGTCGATTGCCACGATGTCAGGTCTTGATGTGGACCTTAATGGTTGTGTCCTTATTCTTTCAATTGCAGTTTGACATGAGGTCATTAGGCTTGCAGGAAACTGGCTGTTTCAGCTGATACTTGACAGACTGTGTATGTGAACAGGTGTCAGCAACATGATAAAAATATTGAAAGAAAAGAGAAGCAAAGTACTTTCTTGGTATTGCAAGTTTAGGTTCATTTGTAGTCATCTGCTGTCTACTTTTGTTCAATTATATTCTCACTTTTTCCCACTTAAAGTTTGAGTTTGCTCAGTTCTTGTAAAACCAGCCTGGCCCCCCTTCATTACATTGGAGTTCAAATCTCTTCAGCACATCTAGGTATTCAGTTGTCTGTCACCATGTGGCTTCATCAGTGAGAAGTAAGTTCTGTCTGTTTTCAATCATCTTGCTTAAGGAATAGGAACAGGTAGACCACTTGATTCAAGCATTGCACTTGTTGTGACAATAGGCTGAGGGTGCCATTCTGTCTTTTGCTTGTTGCTCCTACATTAGGTCATTTTGGTACAACAGGTTTTGGCGTGTGAGTAACACGTGTTGACAGCACCCTCATCTCTCCTAGAAGTAGCACAAAGTGTGGCATGCATACCATTCTGATGCTAGGTAGTAACACTTCAAAGAGCAGGTGGGTTGCTGGAAGTCTACAGCTGTTCTTTTTGCTGCCAGGTCCTTTGCATTCATCTTCAGCCTGTGGACTTGGTGTTTCTAGGAGTATCACTGATTGAAAACTCTCCTAATTTTGATTGCATCCAATTGCACTAACTCTCCTTGTTGGCAAAAGATGAACAGGTACTGTAGTGCAGTCCCTCTTATGAATTTGTGTATATGGTCCATACTTATCATGCTACCCTTTATTAAAATGTCCCATATTAATTTTGATGCATGTGATTGCAATGTGCACATGGATTGGGTATTAAAACATGGAGAATATGAGAAACTGTGTTCTACCTCTCATATATCTGAATGTTTGCTTGGACTTCAAGCAGCTTGTTTTTTGAACAATATGGTTCTTTGGTTTTCAGGTATCATGACAAGAAATACCAGGTCTTCCATGAGCTACTAAATGCTCAGCTCCGCTTTCAAGAAATCATGAATTCTTAGTCAATCATCAGCCTGAAGGAAGGCTTGTAATGGATACATTCCAGGTATAGTGATTCTTCTGCTTATGCTTACCAGTGATGGGTTTCATGAGTCATTCCATTTTTATTAAATCATGCTTTTTTGCAATAGCCAACACATTGCAAAAGTGTATGGCTCAGTCTAATAAGGGTTTCAATGATTTCTTCCTTGATGAACAGCAGACACCACCAGACATTGATAGATGACACTTTATTCATGTATTGCATTGCATTTCATCTCAATACCCAATTTTTCAAGAATTAATGTCTTAAGGCTGTGCCCCCCAAACTCATTTATCTTTTCACACACAGAAACATACTGATCAGAATAATGCAAATGGGTTTGAAATGCCCAATACTCAGAAAATGCACTCAGTGGCACTAAACCTCCCTCTGGCAAAAGACCCGTTTCTTCAAAATTTGTCTTCTGTGAGAGTGGTTGCAAACTGCATGGATCCATCTATCACAACTGAGCAAATAAGGGGAACAGAACTGAGATTTCTTTAAACATCAAGTACACAGGGAAGTATCAAGGAATCAGTTTCATGAAACCAATTTCGGAAATTCTTTTTTTTTTTCCCCCAGGAATTCATCTCACCCCGTCATCTCACTGGTGCAATTCCAAATTGACATTCACTTCCTTGGGTACTTGAATCTCTCTAGCACATACCAAGCAAGCAACTGAAATCACAAAATCAAGAGCCTTCATTACTCATGCCAACATAAGAGTTAGATATCACAACTGAGGCTCACAGGAACACCCATTTTGAAGCATAATCCCCAACTCTGAGCAAAAACACCGAAGGAAAAAGCTATAAAAATGAATGAAAGGCAATGCCACTCTGAAAATCACATGTGAGATGCAATATGACAAATGAAGCATGCACTCCTTTCCACCTCAGGGAGAAGAACACTTAAAAATTGTCATGGGAGAGATTCAAACATGCCAGGTTCAAGCACCACATCAACATGCCTTTCACCTTGAAATACATGTAGAAAGAATTGAGTAAAAGATTCATACCACAGCACTGTGACACCATGTAGTAGGAGAAGGCAGGGAATGCATCAATCCCCATGAGAGTTTTGACAATCAGATCATGAAAATGATCACCCATGCAAGCTTCTAAAAATCACATCAAATGAGTCGTAGAGAAAGGTTTTAATAATGAAAAGTGGTTCTAGAGAGCTCACCAATCAAGCAAAATCAAGGGATAGAATAAAAGAAGTGAAAAATTTCCCTCAGGAACAATGGTTGTACAAGTTTCTACTATGAGGGGATACAATGGGCAGCAATGGAGAACTGCAAGTATGACTAGATTAATGTAGGGAATGGCCATAACATCACTCTTCCACTGATTTTCCCTTGTCAAAGTAAAATTAATTGGCTGTTTGTCACATCTCAGTGTCACCATTGAGATGCAGTACTGTACTGGCCCATTCAGTTCTTGACATAATCATAATCTTCTTAAACTTTTTGAATGGCCTCGTGTCCCAGCACAAGTATTTCAAAAACAACCATCAGAATTTTTCAGCTTCCATGAGATCAAGCAGTAAATCAATTATAATCTAAAATGATCTCTAATGCTACAGTTTTATAACGTGTAATTGAACAGATCTGAGATACAACAAGGGCAGCCAGATGAACTATAGGTATATGTGTGAGAGGGTATCACCAGAGGGAAAACGAGATTGCAGTTACTTCTATCACAGATGAGAAAAATCATTATGCTAGCTGAAGTTGAATCCTCTAAAGCATGGTACTGGCTGTATCTATAGGGAAGCAAACACAAAAATGAAAAAAAAGACCACATGATGCCAGAGGAGATGGAAGTTTGAAAATGCCATATAGTCGAGCATACAGAGATGTGGGAAGGTAAATTCAGGGTTGAGTGAACTTTGTATTCTCAAAGTCAAATGCCTCAAAGGGCTTTTGCCATTCTGAAGAGACATCAAAGGACTTGAGTTTGGCCTCTTTCAAGTCATCATCATCAACAGAGGTAAAGAAGTCATCAGCAAAGGGGTCATCTTCAGCCTTGAAAATATTTACTGACTTGTTCTCTTGGACAGAGGGATGACTTTTGCTTGAGGCTGCCTCTTCTGAGTCAAAGTCTGCCTTCCAACTCTCATCGAGGTCGGGTGGCCTGAAGGTATCTTCGAAACCGAGACCTGGTGGTTCACTTTTTTCTTGTGGCTGGTTGCTAGATGGCAAAAATGGATCACCTCCTGATACCTGAGATTCTGATTGGCTCTTCTTCAATGCCCTATCACATGGTGGATCCCCCCCTGATGCCCCTTCAACACTGAATGGCTCATTGCTGGCAGATGCATGAAAATCTGCTTCCGAAAGAGATAGGTCTGATGATGCAAAATCATCATCAAATGGCGATGAGAATTTCTGACGGTCTCGTACAGATGGCGGTGGTGTTTCTCCTTTAGGGCACTCTCTCATTCCTCTTCGTGTTGGTGGGCTCCACGGTCCTCCATCTCTTGCATCCCTTGCCATTGGAAGTCGATGCCCATAACGATGAAGAGAGGAGTAACCTTCCATGTCCCCAGAGTGAAAGCGCTCCCGGGGTCTCATCATTGGGGAGCGATATGGCCCCTCATCACTGTAGTGAGAACGGTTAGAGAAGGTTCTCTCGGGCCGCTTGCTTCGAGGGGACTGCCGATCATCTGGGTACCATGGATCATGATCAAACTCCTCTGTTGAATAGAAATAAGGATCATAATCAGGAGGTGGCCTGAAATGCCTCAGAGGAGGTGGTCGGACTTCTTGAGGAGGGAAACGATCACAGTCGTCTTCAGGATATGGCCGAGGCCGAGGTTTCATCATGCGTGGATCTGGTTCCACATCCCAGTGCTGCCTCCATTTTCCACCCATGTATACATCAGGAGGTGGGCATGGAGCACCAACTGCTTCGTAGTCATGGTAATACCAGTATTCCTCATCAGGATACATGTAACGGGGTGGTGGTGGTGCTCGAGATGGCATTCGATAATAACGACGGTCGTATTCCTCCACCTCTGGACAGCGGACAGGTGGATAACGATTGTATCGTTCGTACAAACCATCTCTGTAAGGATAGTGTCGAGCCCGTCGTGTACATGGTGACAAGGGGCTCTGTGGAGATTCAAAGCCTCTTGGGTAATTCTCATATATGTTGTATTGTTCAGGTTTAACTTTTTGTTGATGGTCGCCTACTGATTCACTAAGATCATCCGTAGAGACACTGCGACTCTGCCGTGTCTCATGCCAGTCCTTTCTCCGTTGTTTTGTTTCATTCTCTTGTGGCATCTCTTTGTTGTCTTCCCCTTGATACTTACTAAGTTCAGCTTCAGAGTCATATGTGCTAAGGGGTTCAACTTCCTCATCTGCTAATTTTTCAGCAGCATCTTGAGATTTGGATGCCTTCCGTGCATCCTTGGTTGTCTCCTGTGATTCTTCCTTCTGCTTTTCTGGGTCTATTAATGAAGACTTTGGGACTTTCTCATCTTCTTTCTTGATCTTTCTTGAAGCAGCATCACTTATGTGAGGCTTGCCTGAGGCCTTTTCATTTTCTGTATCACTACGTAATGAATAAAAATGAGATTCTGAGCTCTCAGTTGTCTCTCTTTGACTTGGGGACCTCACTTCAGGACTCTTCTGATCTGGTGGCAAGTCTGGGACTAGATCTGGGCTACCAAGCTGCTGAGAGAAACTGAATTCATCTGGTGATGTTGTGTCTCTCAATGTTTCATCCTGGGCATCTCTCCAGGTGTCATCTCGTGATGACACATTTTGCAGAGTGTCGTCAACATCACTGGGCTCTAGAGATTCACAAGATCTACTTTTCCTTTTGGCAGCAACATTGTTCTCTGCAGTATGGTACTCTTCTTTGGATTTCTCACTGCTAGAAAAAAGGTTTGATGCTGAAAGGGTGCTAGCCAGATCCTTGAGGCTCATGGAATTAATTTGCTCTGCAGGAAGATTCAGTTTCCCACACCCAAATAACCCAGTGGGCAAGCTGCCTTGATTCAAATTTGTATCTGAACTGCTGAGGCTGGGTGTTACAGACAGCTCAGCATCACTGTGGGAAGTGCCAGACTTAACGCTTGCATCATCTGCAACTCTATCATAATCAGAACCACCCTTTGCTTCCAAATGGGATTTTGACACTTCTTGGCTTGAGGTGCTCCCTGAGGCTACATCATCAAGATGAGACAGGGATTTCTCCTTCAGATCTGGTTTCTCTGGTGGGATACGATTGAAAGAGGACTCTCTGGGTGCAAGGACAGCTTCACTTTGTATGGAAAACTTGAGATGTGGATTTGAATTCTGTCTTGGGCGTCTGAATGGGATGGGGATGGGAGGTGAGGTGTCATCATCTTTGGCCACCTTGCTGGCAAACGCATCTGACAGCTTCACTGAGTCTGGAATATCATGAGGAGGACGGGGTGGGGGCTTTGTTGTTGGAGGGGGGATTCGTTTTGGAGGCAAAGGAGGTGGTTTTGCTTCATACAGCTTTGGCAGTGGAGGTGGAAAGGGGTCACATCCCTTGAAAGGTTCATCACTAACAGACACCTCAAATGGGTCTTCCATGTATGAAAACCCATCATTGAGATCACCAGTTACAGATGATCCAAAGCTCACTTGTGTGCATAGAGGGTAGGAGTTGCAAGACATGGAGTCAGAGCGAGGGGGTGGAGGAGGTTGAGGTGTCATGGGAGAGAATGCTGCCCATTTTGAAGCAGGCTGAACAATGCAATCTTCAGATTTAGTGGCCTCTGGTGGTGAAAAGATGAGGGATAAGTCCTTGGATTGATCTTGTGCTTTTCGACTTCGCCCCGGTGATGGTCGAGGCATAGGCAGAGCTGGAGGTTCTTGTCTATCTCGACTGGTTGGCAAGGGGGGAACTTTGGGAACTTCATCCTCTCTCTTCTCATTGTCTTGGAAAACAGAGAAATCAGCAAAGCCATCAGATGATAAAGTCTCCTGGGAAGATGCTTCCTGGTGTTGTTGATTGTAGAGGGCAAGGACATCTGGGATCTTCGTTTTCACATGGTTTTCTGAGAACTTTCCAGTTCCAAATGGATCTTCCTTCCTGTCAGCACCCTTACCAGACTCAGTGAGATCTCGCAGTACCTTCTTTGTTGGCTTTAGGTCATAGAAGAAATCCTTCTTGTCCATATATGGCTTGCTTTTGCCTGTTTGCAGTGGATCCAGATCTGTAAACAGATCCTCAGGCTCTATGGCAGCAGCACCCTAGGAAGGAGAGACATAAATGCAATAATGGATAAATGTTTAGAGGCCTTAACACACAGTTGTTCAAGAAAGCTGACTCACATTTTGCTGATGGTCCACATCTGGAACAGACTCATGACCTGACTCATTCCCATTGGTCATCTTCTTACTGGACTCCTGAGATGTTACATCAAAAATGCTCGGTCCATCTTGATGGAAGAGATCCCTAATGCTAGCATATCGATCAGCTTGAGAGTTCTCAGAGGGCTTTGAACCAGGCTGAGGAGGCGAAGCAAATGGATCAGATGCAGATAGTTTCCAGGTTTTCTCACAGCCACCATCATTCTGAGGCTTTTGACGAACACTTGGAGGAGGGGGTGGGAGTGCCGCATTGAAATTGAACGGAGCCAGATTCTTTGGCTTTGCAGTTGCTGATGCAATGGATGTGGAATTGTTGGAGGGCTTGAATGAGTCGCCAAATGGATCCTGTCCCAGTGGAGTCTTTGCCTTGGGTTCCATTTGCAAACTCCCCAATAAGTCTGGCTCGTGATTCCCTCCCGGTAAGGATTTGGTAGGACTGGATACCTGAATTTTGAGCAAATAGGTTAGAATACAGCTGAACTGTTGAGGCTCCTGTCAACAACTTTGCACCAGAAAGAACATATTCTGAGCTCAAGGAGGCACACAACAGAACTAATAAAGACAACCCTCAAAGAAGTGAGGGTTTATCACAGGAAATGAACATATGATAAGGCGGTTCTTTCAAAGTCATGCTAGCGAGCAAGGAAGTCTCTATCATGGTTTCAAGGATAACTGGAGAAGAGAAGAGCAATTACCTTTGATGAGTTGGAATCTTCAGATTTAATGCTCTTGGACTTAGTTAACTCCTTCTTCCTCATGCTGAAAACCACCTCAAAGAGATCTCGGATGGTTTGCACCACCTAAAAAATTCATTCACATTATGAGCTTCCCATTAGCAAGAAAAAAAATTTCTAAAAAGTTCAATTCAAGAGCACCCTTTCATACCTGGTGAGCTGCTTTCTCTGTCTTTATGCCAAAGAAGCGGTGGCCCAGATCTGGTGCTCCAAAAACATAGCCAAAAGCACGAGTGTCAGTTGCGTCCTGTGCCAAGAAACTAATCCGATGTACCGGGTGATGATAAAGACAGTCCTGAAAAAAGAAAGAAGACAAAGCAATGATGGGAAAATTTATTCCATGAGTCTTTGAATTTAAGTGGCTTACCCTACACAGGAGTATATTCAATGTCATTCAATGTCAAAACAAGGGATATTTTTGACATTTCAGAATGGAATGGCTTTTACAACAGGAGTTTCTGGTAGATGTGAGATTTCAGTGATGCAGTGTTTTTTTTTAAAGATTAAATCTATAATTAATTACATAACAATATAGGGATTCATTATGCTAGCAATACATTATAAACCTGTTTCTTCCGTTTGCCATTGAATTCATATCAGCCATAGAATCAATTTCCTAACCTTGGAGCTCTCATCTCTGAGACGAATCCCATCCAGACCGATACAGATGATGATCCTCCGCTTGTGCTCCCCAGCGGCCTTGATGGCCATCTTCAACTCCCCCATGGCATCTTGACACATCTGCTCGCCTCTCGCCTCTGAGACTTCGAGCACTCCGATCAGCTTCCCCTTGAATGTCACCCCATCCCCAGCAAATCTTAAGGGGTCTAGCCTCCTCACCTCTGATTTATCTGCATGAAGCAATGTTGAAAATTTGGTAACATTTCAACTTATAAAATTAGGTTCAGGTTCCCAAGAGCATATGTCTATATCCCTATAATTACAAGGATGCACAGACTATGAAAAGCCAACCCATTCTATGGCATAATCCAAACTTTTAGGGATTATGGATGCAACTACTTGTGCTCTCTGCATTGAGTCCACTAGATTGGGAGGGATAAAGCTACTAAGGAAGAAAAACTAAATGGAGATAGAAAGTATAATGGTTTAGCTTTCTTACCTTTCTTGAGGGTGCCTCCAGGAGCTCTGAAGCTCCCCAAGTTCACGCCTCCCGAGTACATCTCCAGTTTTTTGTTCCGATTGAGATTCAGGGTAAAACGATTGGCTATGGCCTAGTATTTAAACCGAGCCAACGTAATCCTTGCTACCTGACGGGCATCTCCACCATTGAGCATCACAAGCAGATGAACTGGCCAATAGTAATAGTAATTTTAATTCATTCACTCAAATGCATCTATTCGAAGGGAATATAAAAAGTTTAGCGTCTCTTTGCAATGTGAAAAAAACCCGGCCTAGGCCTATTATATGGAGATGAACTACAGTCCTTAACTAAAACCGAACGGGGAAACATAATTTTCCCCCAGAATTTGAAGGCAAATTCCAGAATAGCCGCAACTTATAGTCATAATCCCTAAGAAAACACCAGGAAAAAGCTCAGGAATGTATATTAGATCTGACATTCCAACACCCCTTGCTGATGGATGCCGCCATTTCCACCGTCACGAGTTTTAAGAATTACGACTGACAAAACAAATCCGAATAGAGTAATTTAGGTGAATGTTCTTTTTGTAGTTCCTGCCACAACAAACTTAGACACCCGTAACCATATTGATTTTTAAAGGCCTACAGTTGGCGAAAGTGTCAGGTGGATGCGGATTCCAAAAGCTATAGGGAGAATAAGTCGAATGGCATCACTAGTTCCAGCATGTCAGCCCCCATAGTGCACGCATGCGTTTAAGTCATTTTTTATTCTATGGTCACGTGTAGAGCATTTACGCTCCAAATTCGGGTTGAATTTTTACGTTTTGGAAATCAAATCCTACATTTTTGGATAAACTGGGTATATGTTAGGCCCTGCTCTGGGTCTTCTGATGCATGGAACAAGACTGCCAGGTAACTGTCTGTAAAGCACGTTGTCACTGGTGACTTGTACCGCGCCAGGTGACTGTCGGAAAATGTCTTGGAAAATAGCAGACCCCAGAACGGCAGCCTGCGTTTGTTATGCAGACAGCAACGGTGAAAATCGTAGGCGAAAAGAAGGAAAAAGAAACATGTGGCCTTCGGGAAAGAGACACTCCTGTTGCGAAGTGAAGTTCTTTGATTGTGACGTAAACATGAAGCAATCTGATATAGTGCCTGTTCATGGGTGGGTGACTCACTGCTGTCTCATAGTTGGAATGATGGATGATTGAAGTTTTTGAATGTTTTAATGTGCCGAATGGGAAGTTTTCTGTAACAACTGGATTAAGTGCACTTCCATGCATGAGATTTCCCCTAGTCCAAGGCCTAAAAATATAAAACGGTAGGCTTGGGTCATGGCCTGATTTAACTTAAGTCCTATATGTATGTTAGCCTCTAGGATAATATTGAGTAGCCTTATAAGGGAAGACCAGCCTAACATTAACCTAATACTTGTATCAATTTGACATGGTAAGGTTGGTCATTTGAGTGACACTCATTTTGATGGATTCATCAATTGAGTTTGAGTGATTGTCAGCTGAATAGATCCACTATGTGAAGTTTCATTTCAAATGTAAGCCTATGAATGGAGTTAGAAAATATAGCTCAGACCAAGAATCTTGGGACTCTGAAAATGCAGTGACAAGTTTCCCAATCCCAGGATGTATCTTATACCATGTATTCCCCTGTCATTTCAATAATTTATATTGAACCAACTCTCCAGTGATTGGGATCCTTTGTAGGCCAATTCTCTTTACTTTCCCACTAAGATATAATGATGAGATGGTGCAGAAGGGGTTGGCAGTACACAGAGTGAAATTTTTGTGAAAATTATCAGTCTCATGAAAACAGTTATCTAAACACCTAGTTACTTTGGGCTCCCAAAAGAAAAGTAAATAAGTCAATGTAGATAAAGTTCTCTTTAAAGAAGCAATTGGTCCTGAGTTCATGGTTAAGCCTAGTTTGTGGATTATGTTGCAGAATATTGTAAGCCTACAACTGTCTACAAGACTTTCAGCCATGATAATGGCCTAGAGGATTTGGAAAACTGATATTAACTTAGTGAAGGAGCCTTTCTATTTGATATCTGTATTTTATGAAGATTGGTCTGTCTGCTGAATTGCCTAGAACAAAACTTGTTCACATTAGGCTACAGGCTCACCTTTTCACTCCATTTAGATGTGTTTTTTTGTAGTTATAGACATGCACATGAACATTGGCCCAAATTCCCATCATACTTCTGTTTTTCACTTGAATTGAACACTCATATATGATAGGTGTTGAATTCCAGTGAGTAAAGTGTAAGAAGTATTTTCAAGGAAGGCACATTGTATTATTGAATTACCCCTCGTCATCATATTGCCTGGTGTTGAATACTTCCTTCCAGCATTTCCTTTTTGCCTAGGTTGCACTAGACCCAAGCACTAAGTTCTTCATTCCTAAGCCAAAACACAAGAGAGATATGAATAGAGAAGTATTTAAGAGCCTGAAGGCATTTTTTGGGGGATACATTGAACTTAACTTAATTTTTTTTTTGTCTGAAAATCATATGAATGTGTTACTTTTGATGCTTTTTGGTAAGAATGAGTTTCTCTTTTTTATTTTGGAACTTTTTCTTTTATAGGTGTCTAACTAAATCATTTCATTCTCAGCCATGGTGCTGAAATCCTGGATCCCACAGCCATTTCAGCCAATATATACAACATCAAAGTTATTTGCTCCTCAGATTGCTGCTGCAATCAAGTCTCAGTCGTGTGAAACCTCCACGGAGCTTATTCGCAGTCATAAGGCATAAAGTTTATTGCTTTCATTTTCCTGAGCTTTTACTCTCATCACTGCATGGCTATTTCTTTATCATTCCCATAAAGTTTTGACTTCCACCTCCTTGTTTTAATGTTTTGCAGCTACTCACTGAATATGGCTTTATTTCTGCTACTGCCAATGGAATGTATGCATTCCTGCCTCTCGGGATGAGAGTCTTGGAGAAGCTCCTCCGTCTAGTCGATGGGTGCATGGAGAAGGTGTTTGCTCACAAGATATCATTGCCTGCCCTCTGCCCACAGAATCTATGGGAGAAAACAGGTTTGATTTCTTATTCTCTTGCTTCTCTGTAGATCTGATTGTTTTGTGTGTTCCCTTTGTGGAAGGGTCACCCATGATACTTGGGTGGTATTTGGGCCTTAAAATATAGATAGGCCAGGTATAATATGATGAGATACATTAGGCTAGGCATAATTTGATGAGATGCTCTCTTGACTGGTGATTCCAGAGTTTAAAAATAGCTTGTATATGGTATGAAGGGGTAAAAGCTCTCAGAACCACAGTTTATAGGATATCTCAAGATTTTCTACCTCACTGATGCATGGTGATATATCTGGAAATGTTTCCTACATTTATGGCATATGGAGCCATTGCTACGTTAAGTACGTCATCTATTCGAGGACCACCATACTCAATGCATGTCAACACAAAGTGGTTGTTTTGACACACAGACCTTTGAACTTAAGTTTTTTTATCTATCCCTTCTGCAATTAAAGAGTGCCCCTACAATTTCAAAGACTTCCTGGCACCAACTTTCTTAGGAACAACCTGGGAATCATGCTTCTCTTTAAATCATCTAGAAATATCAACAAAATTACATAAACCAAAGGTCCTCCTTCCCAATGCCACATGGCCATTTTTACAAAATGAAGACATGCTCAAGGTCTAATGACATAATGGAAGGAATCAACTGGTTAGCACATTGAGTCCCAGGCACATGAAAACTAGACTACTTCAAAATGTAAAATTACAGTTCCAGGACTCAATATGTTAAGCGCCACCAAACATCTCAAAACAAGTTTTCCTTTTGTTGCTGAAAAAAATTTACTTCTTTCTCTCCATGTATTGCATCAGAACCTGAAACCTGGATTTTACAAATCTCTTCCCAATCCTGATTGAAAAAGAAAGGTCTATTAAGGAAACAGAAAGCAGAAACAAGTTATAATACTGTGATATAAGTGTAGAAGTATCATCAGTTCTGTTTGGTTAATAGAGAGATGTTGGGGGGGAGTATAGGTAGCAGTACCTGTACTCAAGAAGCCAGTACTAGTGAATAAAATTCTACCCTCTGGAAGGAAATAGAGCAAAAAATCAGCACACCTGAGGCAAAATGTAGATGTTTGGAATACATCAATTCAGAAGAATTGATTTCTTCCTAATGTCCTTGTACCATTGCATGAGTATGTGATGATACAACTAACAAGAGGCAAAGGATCAAATCCTGGTACTGTCACTGATTCTAGACAATCAATAACTTAGCACTCAAAGTAATTCTAGCCCAACAATCCTGGATCCAACAGGATGAGGATTTAGAATTGAGGGAAGACGTCATGCCTGAAATTGGAAGCTTTTTCATCATCCCATTCCCCACAAGGAAAACAAAGAACCATTGTTTGGGAAGGGAGGGCAATCCCCGAATGCAGTGGACAAAGAGGAAGTTCATCTTCTTTCTGAGGCTTTCAGGTGACCTTCGTGAAGTCTGCCCTGTCATGCTTTGAACCTGCTCCGTTTGACCTCAGTTACTAATGAAGGTTTCATCTAAAATGAAATTTTAATGGTTCAACCTACATCACGCCCAATTATGTTAGGTTTCTTCTTATGCTAGTTTTTTTATTTATAATTTGAGACAGGGTGTTGGTCTCTTCCTCAATCTTTTAAATCATCAGAACAATCAAAGATTTTTCTTAAATATCACCTCAGGCATCAAAAGCAGATCGGATTTGTAAGATGAGGTGTTTTTGTTGTGAGGTCTATCTTGGCAACACAAATGCTAATTTGCATGGCTGATTCACCCACCTGATCTTGACATTGGCCGACCAGGTCGACTGGAAACTGGGATAGATTTGTGCTAGTCAGGGCTGTCGTGATGGCAGTTTTGAAAACATGCATGATATGATACATCAGCAAAACATGTGGGGCATTCATATGATGAGATGACAAAGTCATATATCACTGTCTGTAGTGTGGCAAATGAGACACATCTCTTTGCTGCGTGTTACCATGTCATGTTTCTGTTTTTTTTTTTGACTTCTTAATGTGAGAGATGACATAACCTGCCAGAAATTGTTTGGACCTGGTTTAATAGGACCTGTGACAATTGACAATTCAGTTCCTGTGACAATTTCGATGGGGGATATGAACATTTTAGCAGCAATTTTTTTTCCCATTTTGGCCTCATCTGGTCTGCCCGATGCAGAATATTTTAAATACTGAATATGAGGGATATTTAAAAAATCCAGTATTCCTGTTGCCTAAACTGAAAAATAACATATGAAAAATAGCACGTAAACTTACTCAACCTCATGTGCTTGAACTTTGGGGGGAAGTCGTATCCTAATTGAGAGAAACCGTAGATTCCTGAATTCGCGTCTTAAAAATCATGGAAAATGCTAACGTCATTCTTCGATGCAAAGCCGTTCAATCGCTGTCAGCATGCACATCCTCCGTATACCCCATCGCAACGAAGCATTCGAAGCGACGCACACCCCTCACACTCGGCCTCGCGCCCACACACCCCCCCCCCCGTTCATCACTGCACGGTCGACCGGTGGAGCAAAACGCCCGTGTGGATGACATTTAGCGTTAAAGCGGATGGGTATTTCGGTACGTGAGAGAATTTCCCCAGTTCTATCAAAAGGGCACTGCCTCGCGCAAGCACCTAAGCCTCAAGGTTTCCTCCAGCGATCCAAGACGATTGCAGAAGCGTGGGATCCAAATGAACAAAGGATCGTCGTTCAATCTATCCTCCCCAACCCCCCCGGCGTAATTCTGGCTATGCCACTGGTCGCCGCACTCACAAGTCGGGCTTTCCGGTCGGCTCGGTTAATGATTTCATGATTAAATAACCGTCGCAGCTATTGTCATTAAATATATTAATGCATATAAACACATTAATTAATTACTATTAAGACATATATTGCATAAGCAGATTGTCATACGTTCCAAGTACCCGCCTCGCCAATAATAATTGTAAGGGAGCAGCATTCCCACTACATCTCGGAATGCTTAGGGAAAACGCAAAACATTCTTCACTGGCTCACCTCCTGAGCCGCATCGTCACCGTCCCGCTTTTTTAAATATTATATATTATTTAAAAAAAAAAGGGTGTTCACTCGGTCAGGGAGGCTCAGAAAACTCGATAAAATCCGACTGCCGGTCCTGCCGCACCGAAATACTTACCCTCCCGTTACATCATTTGCATGTTTTCACTGCTTCCGATCGATACTGGGCGGGGCACAGGATACGCCCCGATCGCGTTCACGAGCGGGCGTGCGGCTCCATTGGAGAACCCATCGCGAGGATGATGCGGGGGGGGGGGGGGACGGTCTCTGGGCGAACTGTTGAAGCCAGGACGAATGAATGAAGGTTAGAAAGGACTGAAATAAGTTGGTAGTCATATTTGGTAGCGTTTCCAATTCGAATCAGGCGTAACAGTTTCCAATTTCAGGACAGGCGACTGACGCACTCATTCCCTCGCGGTTCATCATGGACCAAGGGCTGCAGGGGGGGGGGGGGGGGGGGGGGGGAGGGCGTGCCCGGCTATGCGCCGCGAGGTGGTTGCTCTCGCGTGGCTTTCTGGAAATAGCGAATATCGGGTCGGATGGGCTCGTAGTGTGATCGGTGCCATCCCCGATCGGGACGCCGAGATGGTCGTCGATCCACCTGGAGTCTCCGCCGGGATCGTCACGGCATTGACCGTTTCTCGTGCGCGCCCTTCCATGTAGTCATTACGTAACGGCGAGTAAACACGGAGCGGGGACTAAAAAGACGGCCCCCTAAGAGGACTCGAGGCGTAGAAGAAGATTGAAAAACGCGGCACGAGGTCATTCCAAAGTCCCTCCCGAGCTTCAACTGAAAAATTTCCGCGAGAATGCGAGAATTCCCCGCGGTTCAGTCCCGGAGGCTCCGTCGCGCTCGCGAAACGCTCCTGATTTCTCGAGTTCCTTTTAAAAATAAATAATTAATTAATTAATTAAATTTTGGAGTGCGTTTTGTTTCGGGAGCATCGCGAAACTAATTTCACCTTCAAATGTTCCAAAATCGGTGGGAATGTAAAGAAAACAAGTTTGACTTTTGAATCACGCTTTATTCATTTATATTTTACTCTGGTACACGCTCTAAAAATAAATAAGTAAATAAATAAAGCGTGCCCTCGCAGGTGCCTTTTTTTTAATATAAAAAATACATACGAGGCACGTCCTTGATATTCCTTTGACCTTTGTAAGCCGGATGGGGAAATGCAAAGGACGAAGCAGCGTTTCGAGTCGGCTGGAAAAAAAGTTGACCGCATCGCTAAATAATTGTTTCCCAAAATTGCGATCGGCCGTTTGTGTGGCATTAATTGCATTAATTGATTGCGTGGCTCGTCGGCGAGACCGTTGCCCGTGCGTGTTTTCAATCGCGGGGCGGTGGTCAGCAAGAAAGCTTTAAAAAAAAAATTATTTATTTTTTGGAATGGTATGGAATTTTCCTTTTGTTTTCCTTCGTCGCCCAGACGGCGCGGGAAAGCACACGGAAGCGAGGGGAGGGTGGAGGCTCATCCTCCGGGGTGGGAGTTCATCCTCCCGGGGTGGAGGCTCATCCTCCCCGCGGGGTGAGTTCGCCTTCAGTCCGCGAGGTTCCGTTGGGAAAAAATCGCGAGGAGGCCGCGCTCGACGGATTGGTGGGATTTTAGAATTGGCGGCGATGTCGTGAGGGCGAAGGAAACGCGAGTGAACCGTGATTCTTTCCTTTTTTCGCAGCGCGCGAATTTTATTATTTTATTTACGTTTCTTACCGGTCTCCCACGGTTGCCTTTTTTTTTTTTTTTTTTTTTTTTTTTTTTTTTTTTTTTT